GGGGCCAGTGTTGTGGTATAGTGGATTCAGCCACTACCTCCCGTGCCAGCAGCCCAAATTGACACCAGTTAGTGCTCAGCTGCTTCACTTCTAGTCCAGCTCCTTGCAGTTGTACCTGGGAAAGCAGAAGATGGTCTGAGTGTTTGAGCCCCTACCATCCACGTGGGCAGCACAGATAAAAGTTCTGGCTTTTGCCATGGCCTGTGCCATCTGGGGAATGAACCAATGGCTAGATCGATCTCTCTCTCTCTCTGTGTCTCTCACTGATTTTCAGAATAAATTTAAAAAACCACTTTTAAAAATGAAAATCTGTTTGAAAGACCAACAAGACAAAGAGAAGTCCTGTGTCTGCTGATTCCCTTCCCCAAATCCCTCCTGTCTCCAACAGCGCATGCTCACAGAAAGCAGGATCAGAAACAAAGCTGGCACTTGGACCCAGCTACTGCAATGTGGGATGCAGGTTCCCAAGCAGGTTTCCAGTCCTGTGTCAAACACCTGCCTTGACAATATTTCTTTTTTCATTATTTGAGGGATGGAGAGAGAGAAAGGAAGATAGAAGAAGGTAGAGGGAGGGAGGGAGGAGAGAAGGATGCTTGCAGGAAGCGGATTGTTGGAAAGCAGGTGCCCCTGGGAGCTGGGAATGGAATGCCGGTCTTCCACCATGGGTGGCAGGACCCCGATGACATGAGTTGGCACTGCTCCCTGCCATGGTTCATATTAGTAGGAAACTGTAATTGGAAGCTGGAGCTAGGACTTATAACCACGTACTTCCACATGCCTAAACAGCATCCTCAATAACATGGTAGCTACTAGTCCAAATGCTCACCATGTGGACAAATTTTTGTGTTGACGTAGCTTTTCAATTTTCTTGTGGGTATATACCTAAGAGTGGAATTGCTTTATCATGTGGGTGTCATATAGGTCCAAGTATTTGGGACCATCTTCCGCTGCTTTCCCACGTGCATTAGCAAGGAACCAAAAGTAGAGCAGCCTGCTCTGAAACCAGCATTCATTGGGAGTACTGGTAATAGGCTACACCACAACATTGACCCCCAAATTAATGTTTTGTATTGCACCTTGTTTTTGGTGCACCCATCATATCCATATTGTATACAGCTCCCCTTGTGTTAACCATTCAGCAATTGTCTTGTTTGTCAGGTGTACCATGGTGGTATCAACAATGCTTATATGTACTAACCCTGGTCTTCCTTAGTAATAGTCCCAAAGTACAAAAGTAATCATTCTGGCTGGCAATTTGAAAATAGCAAAGACAAGCTGCAAACTGTTCTTTTTAGTGAAGAAGTATAAATTCTCAACACAGTAAAGATAGGAAAAACAAAGCCCTCCTGTTCAGAGATTCCCAAGCTCAAAGGTTGAAAACAAAACAAAACGTCTTTCCTTGAATTTGTGAGGGAGGAAAAGTATGTTTCACTTAGTTTTTCTGTTACACCTGCAAATTGCAACAATGTGTGTGATCACTAGTTAATTAGCATCGAAAGAGTATTAAAGATAGGCATTTTAGAGCAAAACCAGTTTATGTAGTGCTTAGTACTGTGCACAGTTTGAGGCATCCTCTGGGGGGGTCTTGGACTGACTCCCTTGGGGTGACGGGGGCCAGGAGCTACTGTACTAATGCCTCATGGTGTTATTGTGAAGTTAGTGGGCGTGAAGAAGTTTGGGAAGAGTGCATGGCACATGGCAGATGCTCAATTGGAGCCTAATACGATCTTCTTTTGTTGCTCAATACCAGCCAACACCTGCTCTCTGTCCACCCCCTCCCCCGCCATGCATGTGTACACATACCTTCTGAAGTAAATCCAAAACAGGTGCTCTCAGAGGATGATGCTGTTGTCCATTCAGTTCTGTCACTGTGTTGTCTGTCTTAAGTCCTGTAAGAGTGAAGAGGAAAGTATGATGGGGTTGCTCAACAGGCTAATCCTCCATCTTTAAGTGCCAGCATCCCAAATGGGCAGCGGTTCAAGTCCTGACTGCTCCACTTCCACTGCTTATGGCCTGGGAAGCAGTAGAGCATGGCTCAAATCCTTAGGCCCCTGCACCCATGTAGGAGACCCCAAAGAGACTCCTGCCTCCTGGCTTCAGATCAGTTCACCTCTGGCTGTTGCATCCAATTGGGGAGTGAATCAGCAGATGGAAGAGTTCTCTCTGTCTCTCCTTCTCTATAAATTTTCCTTTCCCATAAAAAATATTTTTCCAAAAAGAAAATTTAAGCATTCTCTCAAATACATTACGCAAACGAAAAGACTGAAGAGGTCAGTCAGAACCATGCAGTTTATCTAAGAAGGAATTTGAAATGTCAAGAGAGAGAGGCAGGAGTCCGTTCTGGGCTCAGAAGGCAGAAGTCAGCAGCAGGAGCATTCGTAGAAATGAGCAATGTAGGAGTGAGGCAGTGGTGAATTCGGAATGAGATTCTTATTCTATTTTTTAAAGTGAGGATGCAGAATTGAGATATTAAGCTTTTTAAGAGGATGTTATTTTCATTTGAAAGGTAGAGTTGCAGGGAGAGAAGGAGAGACAGAGAAATTTCTTCCATTTGCTGCTGCACTCTGCAAATGGTCGCATGAGCCAAAGCTGGGCCAGGCCGAAGCCAGGAGTCTGGAGACTCCTCCAGGTCTTCCAGGTGGGTACAGGGGCCCAAGCACTTGGACCATCTTACGCTGCTTTCCCAGGCACATTGCTAGGGTGCTGGATTGATAATAGAGCAGTCAGGATTTGAGCTACTGCCATGAGAGATGTTGATGCTGCAAGCAGAGGCTCAGCTTGCCATGCCACAATGCCAACCCCACTGTTGTTTTCCATTACTACCTATCCTGCACCTGGAGTCATGGGGCTTTTTTTTTTCCCTATTCCTGGTCCTCATGCTAATCAGGTACTCATGCCAAGTCATTTGTCCTCTCAAGGCCTCAGTTGCCAAGCAACAGAGTTCAGCCCTTCAGACTAGATAAAAATCACCAGTCTTTGGCGTTCCAGAGCTCAAGTAGCTTGAGTGGTACATAATTTGCGTCAAACCAGCTGCTGGTTATGCGCACAAAGAGCATGGCTGTGGGTCACTTTGACCCAGGTGGCTGTTTTCAAGTTCGTTGTCTCAGAGCAGGGCACCTTACCTTTCTGAGCCTTGGTTGGCTCTGCTCTTAAATGCGCTGTATAATGCCTACATGTTCCGGTGGTGCTGGTAGAAGTGGGCATGGCACATTTCACATGTACGTGCCTGGGACCAGGCAGATGCATGCTCAACTTGAAACAGCCTAAACCTATAGTGTTCAATCACGACTGGAGCTACCCATAACTCTATATACATGGATTGCAATGATTTTCGGCTCTTTTGCCTAGGTAGCAAACACACACAGACCTTTCCTTCCTTCTCTACCAACCAACTTCCTTCCTTTGGAGTGACCTAATGTGTGATGTGCCTTTAACTTTGACTAGACTGTTTCCATAATCCTGCAAAAAATGTGATGCATGAGGATTCCTGTTAGACTCCAGGAAACTATGACAGGTTAATTGCATTCATCAAAATTATGCAGTTCCATGGTCTCTAGAGCAAAAATGTTGGCTTTGCTCTTTCTAGCCCTATGATCTTAGGGTAATAAAACATCTCTGTGACCTTATAAGATTATATTGTTTACCAAGCTAATGCATGTAAGTACTTGAGCATTACTTTGCACTAGGTACATATTCAGTCTCTTAGTCATTACTGTTCTACTATTTAAAAAAAAAAAAAAAGATTTATTTGTGGGCCCAAAATGGTAGCCTAATGGCTAAAGTCCTCGTCTTACATGTGCCAGAATCCCAAATGGGCACTAGTTCGTGCCCTGGAGTCCCCACTTCCCATCCAGTTTCCTGCTTGTGGCCTGGGAAAGCAGTCAAGGACAACCCAAAGCCTTGGGTCTTTTGCCTGGGTAGCAAACAAACATGTATGGGAGTCCCAGAAGAGCTCCTGGCTCCTGGCTTTGGATTGGCTCAGCTCCAGATGTTGTGGCTACTTGAAGTGGCCAGTTGTTGAAAGATCTTTGTTTTTGTCTCTCTTTCCCTGTTTGTATGTCTGGTTCTAATCTTGGAAGTCCCGTTTCCCACCCAGCTCCCTGCTTGTGGCCTGGGAAAGCAGTGTGGGATGGTCCAAAGCCTTGGGACCCTGCACCCGTATGGGAAACCTGGAGGAGGCTCCTGGCTCCTGACTCCTGGCTTCAGATCAGCTCAGCTTGGGTAGCTGGGGTCCTGCCATCCATGCAAGAGACCTAGTTTGAGTTCCTAGCTACTAGCTTTTGTCGTGGCCATTCTGAGTGTTTTGGGAACGCGCACCAGTGGATGAGAGCTCCCTCCATCTCTGTCTGTCCCTCAAACAGGTAAATGATGTGGAAAACTGAAGTCATACGGACCTCGTTAATTTCAGCATTCTGATTCTGAAGCACTTCAGGCCAACTTCATTAAAGGAGGCTAAAAAGGCTAGATAGTTGAATGACCATGTGTATAATATGAATTCTAGGCTGGGAGAGTATTTTTCTTATTTTTTTTATAATTGTGATTTATAATTTTTATTTTTGTTTTTTATTCGGAAAGGCAGAGAGACTGTGGTATAGATGGAAAGATCTTGCATATGCTGCTTCATTCCCCAGATGCCTCTTACAGCTGTGCTGCTCCTGCCTGAAGGAGGGAGCCAGAAACCCAGGTCCTTCAGCAAGGAGCACTTGAGCCTCATGTCCTGACCTTGGCTATGTGCATCCTCAGAAACAGAGCCAGGACTGAAACCCAGGCTCTCCACTATGGGATGTGGGTGCCCCAAGCAGCATTGGAACTGCTGTACTGGGAAGCTTTCCTGGTGATATTATGTGTCTTTTTTTTTTTTTTTTCATTTACGTATTCTGTTGAAACACACATAAAGTTAAATTTCACCAAACTCTACACTGTAGTTCTTAAGCTTCCTAACTTCTAACAAAATCTGGATCAATTTCAGTGGCATGATGTGTTCTCTGCTTCCCCCGCAGGTCTTTCAGAGCCTTGAGGATCACCATCTGGAAGTGGTAGCTTTTTTCAGGGAAAATGGTTTCCATGGCCTTCTTGCTCATGACTCCGAGTACGCACTCTACAATATCCCCTCTTACTACAGTTCCCACGCTCTGAAGCTGAGCTGGAATGGCAAGAACCTCACCACAAACCAGTTCCTGATGCAGGAGGTGGCCAAACAGCTGGGCCTGAAGCGGATGAATTTTCCCATATTTGCCGCATTGCTAGGTGGGTAATCCAAGGAGGAGACTCCATGAATTGGTAAAGTGCCCTCTTGTTATTAGCAGATAAGAGTAAAGTGAATTAGACTGTCGAGACTGGATTTGTCTTTGAAAGTCCACATGCCAAACACTGTGTTTGGGAGAACCCAGCAGGCTATTGGGCTTCCTAGTAGACCATACTAAAACTCATCATATTGTGTGATAGATTGCTACAGAATATTCTAGAACCTTACTCTGACTCTTGTAAAGCTTTTTTCTTGGGTTTTCATTTATTAGCTGTCTTATGCAGAGCATGATTTTGGCCAGTTGTTTTGTTAGTCCTGTACAAGTTTGAATCACTCAAAGCGTTAGCATTCGTTCCAAAGTATTAAATTTAGATCAGAAACAAATTTGTTGCTTATGTTTTTTTTTTTTCTCTTCGATTCTTTTGTGCTAAGATTTTATGGTGAAAATTTCCAAAAAAATACAAGAAATAAGACGAAAAACTTTGTAGTAAAAACCCTATATCCACCACGTGGATATATATCCACCACCCTATATCCACCACCATTAATGAAGCTGGGTCGGAAGGAGAGAAGGTGCGACGTGAATCAAGCTCTTGGACGAGGGAGGCCGTGTCCCAGGCAGGGCCTTCACTGCTGTGTGACACGCCTACTGCGAAACAGTTCTCACTTCATATCCCACTACAGGCGCATACTAAACAGCTGCCTTGGCCAAGTTGCCAAACTTGTCCAAACATTAGTTTCCTTTCCTAAAAAGACAGGGATAATATTAGATGTGTGAGTCATGACAGCAGTGACTCATTTTAGGCACTTGATACCTAGTAGATTATCAACACATAGCTACTACAATTATGGTACGAGGAATATGGTCCCTTGGGAATAATGTGATCATTTTCTGCTCCCAGACTTCTTTCATGGCCTGGAGGTTCTAAGAAAACTTTGTAAACAATAAATAACCAATGTGCTTTGTAGGAAACCACATTCTCCCAGATGAGGACCTGGCTGCCTTTCACTGGAGCCTGTTAGGACCAGAACATCCTCTTGCATCACTTAAGGTAAAGTGCCCCTTTCTCCCAGCTTCCTGCCCACCGCGATTAAGGGGACATCTGGTTTTGACTGGCTTTCTGATGTAATAATCAGCATGGAATTGCAAGAATTTCAAATATCTGCAGATAAAAAAGAGTTAGTTTCTACACTTAGTATCTTATCTGAAGAACTCGTGGAAATCTGTGAAGAGCACCAGTATCTCAGTAATTCAGTCACGAGGAAAGAACAGAAGCAGAGAATTCACTGCAGAGGACGTGCCGGGCCAGTTACGGGCCGATCTCGGCAGTGAGGAGGAACGCAGATGAGCAGAGCGCTGTGATAACAGTTTTAAGCACACTTTGGAAAGTTTCTCCACCTACTTCTGTGAAGGCTGGAGCAACAATGAGATCCTCGTGCATTTCTGGTGATTGTGTGAAAATTGTGTCCATTTGAACTGTTTGTTTCATTCTTTTCCTCCTTCCCCAAGCCACTAATACTGGTGCTCTCTCCTCATTGGCTCACTCTCGGTTCATGGGCTAATCTGCTATTTCAAGGACAAAATGGGAGCAAGGAGCAAAGAGAATGTCTCTACATTCTCTTGATCTCACCTGTATGTATCTGTGTGTACTGCCTGCCTCCTGTAACTGGGGGTAACCTATCCACTTACACCAGCTCATGGCTGACCTGTGGATGTCTTTGTCTGAGGCTAGCCCTTCCACTTACACAAGCCCCTCACGGTCTCACCAGCTGAAGAACATCAGCACTATAGTTCTCCCACACTGCCTCTTGCATCATCCATTTTTCTCTTTTCATTATAAACATACAGCCAATGGAAAAAACAAAAAGAGAAACACTCTTGATCTCATTTTCCCTGGCAAAGCTCCTGCTCCATATTTCTTCTTACTCCTGTGAAGTGTTGTCTCTCACCCGACCTGCTCACTATCCTCTTCCTCTGTTCTCTCTTCCATCTGATTTGCTGAGGTTGCCCTGATGAGGTCTCCAGGACCCTGCAAGTTGAAAAGCTTGCTGGCCAGCTGGCAGTTTCCATCTCTCCTGACCATCAACAGCGTTGCTTAGAGTCACTGATTCTTCACTTGGGTATAATGTCACTGCTGTCTCCTAGTTTCTTTATTTGTTTAAAGATTTTTCCATTTGTATTGGGAAGACAGATTTACAAAGAGGAGGAGGGACAGAAAGATCTTCCATCCACTGGTCCACTCCCCAAGTGGCTTCAATGGCCGGAGCTGGGCCGATCCAAAGCCAGGAGCCAGAAGCTTCTTCTGGTTCTCCCACTTGGGTGCAGAGAAGATCTTCCTCTCTGTCTCTCCTCCTCTTTGTATATCTGACTTTCCAATAAAATAAGTAAATCTTTAAAAAAAGCACTCTGAGCATCTTTTAGCAAGTATCATTGGTTCCTCCTTTAATGCTTTTTGAAACTTAAGCAATTTTTTAAAAAATTTAACAGGTATAAAAATGATTTATGTGGAATTATGTAGCCTCAATGGCTAGGACTATGCCAGTCCAAAGCCAGGAGCCAGTTGCTTCTTCCAGATCTCCCACGTGGGTACAGGAGCCCACGCACTTAGGCCATGCTGTGCTGCTTTCCCATGTGCATTAGAAGGCACCTGGATTTGAAGTGGAGCAGCTGCAACTCACTGGCCCCCACGTGGGATTCTGGCATCACAAGTGGTAGCTTAACTTTGTATGCTACAATGCTAGCCCAAGCATTTAACATTTCTTAGCTGGGATTATCCTCTAGTTTTAAATTTAAAAAAAAAAATAGGAAATATACAGCACGTTACCATTATCTGTAGTCATCCTACAATTCAGTAACCCCCAAGAACTTATTCCTGTTTACCTATACCTTAGTACTTATCAGGAAACATTTCCCTGTCCCTTCCCTCCTTCTTCCCAACCCATCCTTTGGCAATAATTGTTATATTTTAACTTTTAGGAAATCTCCTATTATTTAGGGTCCACATGAGTGAGAACCCATGGCATTTGTCTTTCTGTATGTAGCTTATTCCAGTTCCATTTGTGGTGTTGTAAATGATGACATTGCATCCATTTTTATGATTGCATACTTACTATTCCACTGTGTGTATGGACCACATTTGCTTTAACCACTTATTGGTGGATAGACACTTCAGTTGTTTCCATGTCTTGGCCTTATGAATAGTGCTGCAATAAGCATGGGAACGCAGACTGTTCTCCAGCTGGCTGTCACTTCCCTTGGATACATTGTATATATGCATGAGTATAGCATCGGTGCATCGAATGGTAATTCTATTTTTAATATGAGGGGAACATCCCTACTGTTTTCTACAACGGCTATTCTGATTTACATTCTCACGAGCAGTGTGAAAATTTCCCTTTCCTTCACATTCTCCCAAGCACCCAGTGTCTTTTGTCTTTTTGATAAAAAGGCAATGTTACTAAATGAGGCTATCTCATCTTGGTTTTTATTTGCATTTCCATGGCCATTAGTGATGTTAGACACTTTTTTTCAATATTTCTGGTAGCCTTTGTATGTCTTTCTTTGAAAAATATCTATTTAGATTTACTAACCATTTTTAGGTTTCTCTTTTGATTAAAAAAGATTTATTTTTATTTGAAAGGCATATTTTACAGGGAGGGGAAACACACAGAAGGAGAGAGAGTGAGAACCTTCCATTTGCTGATTCACTCAGCCAGAGCTGAGCCAATCCGAAGCCAGGAGAGGGGCTTCTTGCAGGTCTCCCATGTGGGTGCAGGGGCCCAAGGCTTTAGACCATACTCTGCTGCTTTCCCAGGCCACAGGCAGGGAAATGGGTGAGAACAGGGTGAGAACTGGATCAGTGGGAACATGAGTTGGTGCCCATATGGGCTGTCAGTGCTGTGGGTGAAGGATTAGCTTTTGAGTTGAGTTCCTCATATATGTTGGATATAAATTTGATATGGCTTGTAAATATATATTGCCATTTGAAATTTACTTCTTTACTCTGTTTGTTGATTCTTTTCCTCCTGTAAAAGTTTTCTAGTTTGTTGAAATCTCATTTTTCTATTTTGCCTTTTATTTCCTGTGCCTTTGGTGTCTAATCTAGAAAATCCTCTATTCCAGTGTCTTAACATTTTTCCCTACATTTTATTTTCAAAATGCATTTATTAATTTGGAAGGTAAAGTGACAGAGAAAGTCACACACATATACACTCATGCACACACATCTTTTGTCCCTTGATTCACTCCCCAAATCCCTGCAGTAGTCAGGAACCCAAGCCCTTGGGCATCTCTGCTCCCTTACCAGGCACATAAATAGGAAGCTGAGTCAGAAGTTTATTGGCTCGGGCTTGAACTGGCACTCTAGTAATGAGATGCCTGTGTTATGTTCTGTACCATAATGCCAGCTCCTTCCCTATAGTTCCTTCTGGTTTCAAAGTTTCAGGTCTCATATTTAGGTCTTAACTCCATTTTGGGGTGATTTTTATACATGGTGAAAGATAAGGATCTAGCTTTATTCTTCTACAAATGGATATCTAATTTTCCCAGTATGATTTGTTGAAAAGACCATTCTTTTTGGATTACATGTTCTTACCACCTTTGTCAAAGATCAGTTGACTGTGAATGTTTCGATTTGTTTCTAGGGTCTCTATTCTGTTCCATTGATCTATGGATCTGTCTTTATGCCAACACCATGCTGTTTTAATCACTGTGACTTTGTAAAATTTTAAAGTCGTGTAGTGTTATGCTTCCTGCTTTGTTCTTTTTGCTTATGATTGCTTCGGAAATTCGTGTTTTTTTTATAGTTCAATACAAGTTTTTGTAGGGTGTTTTTTTTTTTTTTTTTTTTTTTTTTACTATTTATGTGAAAAATGTCATTGGTGTTTGAGAAGGATTGAATTAAATCTGTAAATCACTTTGGATAACATGCACATTTCAATTATATTCAGTGTCTCAGTCTGTGAGTGCAAGATGTTTTTCCAGTCCTTTGTGTTCTTTTCAGTTCTTTCATCAATGATTTACAGTTTCATTGTGGAGTTCTTTCACTTCTTTGGTTAAACTTGTTCCCAGGTATGTTTTGTAGGTATTTGGAATGAGATTACTTTCTGCATTTCTTTTTTAGATGATTCAAAATACTGCTACTGATTTTTTACCTTGCTTTTGTATTCTTAAACGTTGTTCAGTTTATCAGTTTGGATAGCCTTTTGGTGGAGTTTTGGGGCTCTTTCTTTAAGATCACATCATCTGGGAACAGAGTTTGATTTCTCCCTTTCCAGCTTGGATGCCTCTTGCCTAACTGCTGTAAGACTGTGTTGGATAAAAGGGGTGAAAGCCGTCATCCTTCCCTTGTTCCTGATCTTATCTCTTATCTTACATATGTCCTTTATTAAGTTGAGGTATGCTTTTTTATCTAATGTGGTCAAAATTTTTATCATTAATGAATGTAGAATTTTTTCAATGTCATTTCTGCAGTTATTGAGATGATCATATTACATCCCTCATTCTATGGATGTGATATATTTATTGATTTACATGTCTTGAAGCCTCATTATACCCCTACATTGCATCCCATATGATCAATGTTGAATATAATGTCCTGTTGGATTTGAGTTGCTGGTAGCTTTGCATCCATGTTCATCAAAGATCTTAACCTGTAGCTTTCTTTCTTTAAAAGAGGTATCTATCTGTCTGTTTGAAAGAACTACAGAGAGGGAAGGAAGAAGGGAGGAACAGAGAAAGTGAAATTTTCCATTCACTGGGTCACTTCCCAAATGGCCATAGTGGCCAGAGCTAGGCTGGTTTGAAGCCAGGAGCCAAGTGTCCCACATGGATGCAGGGTCCCAAGGCTTTAGGCCATCCTCTACTGTTTTCCCAGACAATTAGCATGGAGCTGGATTGGGATAGAGCAGCCAAGACTTGAGTAATCGCCTTATGGAATGTTGGCATTGCAGGCAGAAACTTAACCCAATATACCACAATGTTCGATCCAACTTGCACTTTTTTGTTATATTCTTGTGTGATTTTGATATTCATGTAATGCTGACATTATAG